CTGCCTGTGAGCCAAAATATGGTTTGGTGATGATTTCCCAAAGGTTTACCACTATTCATTCCTAAGATTGTCTTGATTATTTTTTTTATTGAAATGTAGATCGCCCATCAAATTTTATTAACAAGCTCAAAAACCTGTTTGCAGCTGATTTTCAGGCAGGTCTTTGAAAACGTTTTCTTATTTTTTTAGAGGGGGGAAATTCTGACTCACCCTGCAAACAAGATTGGTTTTATGGAACAAATTGTTTTCAAATGATGCTGAATCAATCCAAATTGAACCTGTTTTTGCAGTCATTGTTGCCTATTGAATTGCTCATGTGCTCCAAGACCGTAACTGTACTTGCACACACATTTCACTTATCTGTGTAAAAGTGATATGATGTTTACAGCACTATTATATAATGTTATCATTCCAGAATATAAATGTAGAAATAAACCCACTGGATATCATGATATGTACATATACCTGTATATATATATTCCCCTTCTATCTCCTCTCTAAGAAAAAGAAAGTAAATTATTGATAGCTTCCATTAAACATGCAGGATGCATCTACAGGAGGGAAGGTTTTTGTTGTTGTTGTTTTTTTTTTTGAGGAGCTGACAGAAGCTCAAGCAGAGTGAGTCTTGGTTTTATTCAGCCTTTACTTCTCCCAGCACCCGTAGAACTTTTGTTTTGGAGTTCAGTAATGAGTGAGTCAGAGCAACACTGCTGGAACGGATCCCTACGGATCATAACCCAAACCTGGACGTGTTTTCAAGCTCTCACACATGCCGGAACGTCTTTGATTCTCTCCTCCTGCCTCTGTCTTTCTCAGTTTGCTCTGGAGCTGTCTTTCTCTAGAACACAACAACCGAAACCAAATTTCTCTCTCTCCTCTTGTTTTTGACTCACTAGCCTCACGATCTCTCTTTCTAACTCCAGCAGCATAAATCTATCACGTCAGCTAATTTAATCAGAGTTCATTTCAATCTTGTACAATTAAAATCCATCATTAGAATGAAGCATGTATCATCACACAAGCAAAGCATGTGACATTAATGACTCAAATTATGAGCTCTGTTACAAAACCTAGTGAGCTGCCTGTCTAGAAAGCATTTTAACAAGCTTACACCACTGCAAATAACAACACATTCTTAAAGGAAGTTCACCAAAAATGAAAACTAGCTGAAGATTTACTCACCCTCATGCCATCCAAGATAGATTTGGAGAAATTTAGCTTTACATAATTTGCTTACCGATGGATCCAAACATGAGAATGAGATTCCAAACAGCTGTTAAAAACATCACAATAATCTGCATGAATCCAGTCCATTAATTAAAGTCTTGTAAAGTGAAAAGCTGCATGATTGTAACAAACAAATCCATCATGTCATTATTATCATGTCTTTAGCTTCCAGATAAAATATGAGTCCTCTATCCATAATACTGCTTTCTCCAGTGAAATAATCTCATCTCTTGGATAGCCTGAGGGTGAATACATTTTCAGCATTTTTTTTTCAGTAAAAAGAGCAAAAATTCTTACTTTTTCAGAATGTTTACAGAACAATATCTTAATGTTTGCAACGTTTAATGTTTGAATTTCCAAGAAAAACAAGGTTTTAAAACAGTCACATAACATTCAGAAATTTCAAAGCCAAATGGGAACATTCTTAGAACATTTTTGTTAGCTGGGTACTGAAAAAAAAATGATGTAAGATAAGCTGCCTGTCTAGAAAGCATTTTAACGAGCTTACACCACTGCAAATAACAACACATTCTTAAAGGAAGTTCACCAAAAATGAAAATTAGCTGAAGATTTACTCACCCTCATGCCATCCAAGATAGATTTGGAGAAATTTAGCTTTACATAATTTGCTTACCGATGGATCCAAACATGAGAATGAGATTCCAAACAGCTGTTAAAAACATCACAATAATCTGCATGAATCCAGTCCATTAATTAAAGTCTTGTAAAGTGAAAAGCTGCATGATTGTAACAAACAAATCCATCATGTCATTATTATCATGTCTTTAGCTTCCAGATAAAATATGAGTCCTCTATCCATAATACTGCTTTCTCCAGTGAAATAATCTCATCTCTTGGATAGCCTGAGGGTGAATACATTTTCAGCATTTTTTTTTCAGTAAAAAGAGCAAAAATTCTTACTTTTTCAGAATGTTTACAGAACAATATCTTAATGTTTGCAACGTTTAATGTTTGAATTTCCAAGAAAAACAAGGTTTTAAAACAGTCACATAACATTCAGAAATTTCAAAGCCAAATGGGAACATTCTTAGAACATTTTTGTTAGCTGGGTACTGAAAAAAAAATGATGTAAGATAATTAAGACTTGAGATAAAGTAGTAAGATAAAGAGGCAATATCATTTTAAAAACAGTTTAAAAATCACCCTATTGGCAATTTTATTAGCAATTGATTTTTGCAGGCATTGAGCAGTGCTAAAAACTTTCATTCAAAAAAAAAAAAGAGGCAGCAACATTATATCAGTCTTTAATGCTGTCTTAAATGGTAAACAGCAAGGCAGTTCACTGGTTTTTGGAACAGAGCTGAAGTATGTGCTTTGTATGTTGGTATATCAGTAATTGACTGTGTGTGTGTGTGTGTGTGTGTGTTGAGAGCGTGCAGATCTAAATCGGACCTGTTAGAACATGATGAAAGGGTTCAAGGCTGCAGGTAGTGACTATGCGTTGAGAGCAGCCTGTGTCTACAGCTCACTATTCATCTCTGCTCACCCAGTAGGAATTTCTCTTTCTCTCACTCACTCACACACACACACACACACACTTTTAACACTGGTGCAGATATGAGCTCACAATCAAAGGCTGCATCTTCTGGGAATTTACTTTGGTTCTTTTATCTTGTAACAGAGGAAGTGAGCGAGGGACATGGGAGGGAAAAACAATGTTATGATGTTTGTTTCCTCCTGTTTTATTTGTATTGGTTTCTGTTGTTGTAATAAGACTCACTACCTCTGAACGTATAGTTCTTTGTGGCTTTTGTTGACTTGGATCTCTCTTTCTTTCTCTGCACGTCTCAGTCAGACAGTCATTGTCAGCCAACGAGTTTTGTAATTGCATAGAGAGTCATTTCAGTATTGCAGGTTTTATAGCCTAAATAGTCATAACAGAATATAATGCATAGTGACTAGGAGTCATTTATTAAAACTGTCATACAGTAACAAGACATGAACAACACACTAAAAAAAAAAACATTTTACTTTAAAAACAAATACTGGAATTTACACTGCATAATTACATAAAGGAATATTTTTCCAAACAATAAGAAAAAGCATCTTATTTAATATTTGCTCAATTATGAAAGGGCTTTTACTGACCCCTAGTGTTCATCTATAGCTCAAGCTCAAAGGTACATTTTTTGTTTTTGGGATGTTAAAATACTTATTTCTATCCCAGGTTAATATGCAGGGACAAATATAATGTCAGTCATGTTGGAGATATATTTTACTCCAAAAAATAATGTACAATTTTAATATTTCAATAAAATGTCAATATATAGACCTGTTGTCATTACATTAGAACAAAAACTGATTTTAATATTTTAATTTTCAAAAGTCCACCAAATACTAAAAAATACAGAACTTCCTTACATAATATATGAAAATTGCATATCCATGTGAATAAATAATTTCATTACTTGCAACTAAATACGTATTGAGATTGATTTTGCCAATTATAATATGTTCCATTAATGCATTCATGTATTATTCAGTATGACAAGCTACATTGGTCATATTGCTGGTTGGTGGTATTACCCAAGAATATTCAAGCACACAGTAAAACTGGCACCTTTGGCAAAATCAGATTTTATTTAGGGATGTGCGTCACAGATATCAAATTCTCACTCACTTCTACAGGCTCTATAACTGCAGCACGGTGATATATTCAGCTCAACACCTTTCAGCGCTGACTCATCCCAAACATTGTGCACTGAATCCTTTTTCTGTACAAGCATCTGATATAATCACGATACCAAGTATAGGCTCACTGATTACAAATATCTTCAAGTGGTGCAGACCAGGACTTTTCTGTATTTGATATTTGTAATATATATGTATATATATATAATAAAATACAGAAAATTATTCACATAAAAAGTTATTGTCATAAATAAAATATACAACCTCTACAACTGAAATATATTCTAACGAGGGCAGTGCTTAAATGTGAAACATAAATGTGTGTTAACACTTTCAGTGCTGTCACTGTTGACTTGATTTCAAAGTTATGCACAGGTATCTCACAAAACTGAAAACTTCATGAACAGTAGATTTCTACTGGGAGTTTAATGCTTTGTGTTGGAAAATACTGCACATACAGTACAAGGCCAGAAGTATAGTAACTAAAAGCACAGCCATGAGACAGTACAGTAGTTTAGACTGTATTGACTCTGGCAAGTATTGTGTCTGTTATATGCAATACATAAAATGTCATATGAACTACATATGAATAACTCAACTCAAAAGATTAAAAAAAAATGTGTGGCATTCTGCCACATAATGGACTATGGACTTTGAAATGGAATACTTGTTGAAAATGTACTTACCCTTAAGACATCCAAGGCGTTGATGAGTTTGTTTCTTCATCAGAACAGATTTGGGAAAATTTAGCATCACTTGCTCACCAATGGATCCTCTGCAGTGAATGGGTGCCGTCAGAACGAGTCCAAACAGCTGATAAAAACATCACAATAATCCACAAGTAATCCACATGACTCCAGTCCATGCTAACATCTTGTGAAGTGAAAAGCTGCATGTTTGTAAGAAATCCACCATTAAAGTGTTTGTACAGTAGATTGTTGTGATGTTTTTATCAGCTGTTTTGTCTCATCTAAAACTCATCTTGAATGGTCTAAGATTGAGTAAAGGGTGAACTATTTCATTTAAAATAGTCCTGTTAAAATAGCATTCTGGCATTTCAAACCTAGTCACTGTCCTGTCAACAAGGCCCCCTTTTAGTAAATATCAAAATTGTTGGCCAATCAGCTAGAGACTGAGCCTTCATCAGCGGCATCTGACGAATCATGTTCATCGGCAGAGTCTGTTAGGGCGGGGTAGGGGCGGGGCTGGTCCAGATTAACATATGTGACCTTCAGGCTGATGTAGTGCTCTCCCTCCAGGCTGGACAAAATACTCATCACAGCGGACACTAGTGTGGAGAAAGTTGGTCTCCTCTCAGGGTCAGGGTCCCAACACTGTAACATAATGGTGAATCTGCAGATACAGAGGTAATGATCAGTCATCTCTCAGTTGGGTAATCTCTATTGAAAAGTGACTGGCAGTGTCATACTGTGTTCATAAATCAGAACTCAATCAGGCGTATGAACTTGAGTCACACACATTCACAGTTTCCATTGCTGAACCTCACCAACGGTCATGTTTCCACATCCTGCTGCTACACTCTGAGTCACTATGCAATTTTGTTTTTGTTTTTAATGTATTCCAGAGTTTCTAAAGCTTTACAAAGAAGAAATGTGGAGGTGTCATGATTTATGTTCAAAACAACAACCTGTGATACACCATGGTATGAGTTAATGCATTATTATTTTTTATATGACACCTGTCGTTTGAGACTTTCGAAAACGCAGCAGACCCCGTATTAGTTTGAAAACTCCGGTGTTGTGTTTCAGTGTTAATGGACCAAAATGGAGACTTTTGAAAAAGTACGCTCTGCGTATCCTTGACGACCGTATAATGAATAACATCATGCTCATTGTACATATTTATGGTTGTACCTGAATGAATGGTCATGTGACATGCGTTTTCGGTTGTGTAGTGTGGACGGAGATCATTTCTGAAACGCAGTAAAGACGCCAGTGTAGACGAGGATCGTTTTCATTTTAAAACACCATTGTAGTATAAACAGGGCCTAATATGCTGATTTGGTGCTCAAGAAACATTCCTGTTGTTATCAATGTTGAAAACAGTTGTGCTGCTTAATATTTTTTTTAAACTGTCATACATGTTTTCAGGATTCTTTGATGAACAGAAAGTTCAGAAGAACAGCATGTTTGAAATAGAAATGTTGTAACATTATAAAAGTATTTACTGCCAACATTGATCAATTTAATGCAGTCTTATTGAATAAAAGCAATTTCTTAAAAAAAAAAAAACTATAGAAAAAAAATAAATCTCTTTTAAAACATTCCACAACATATTTTTCATAGCAACAACTCTGGCTAAAAGCTAAAGGCCTGGTTAGTGATTGCTGGAAGTTTCTCAAGGTTTACAAATTTTTGTAGTGTCACTATGTTGGTTTTTAAATATTTCCATCTGTCTGAAAGGGAATGATGATTAACTCTCTGGGCAGTGCTTGAGGTGTTGGATAATTGAAGGGACATTCACAATAACCTTTCAGATGACCTTTTCCACTGCTCTGAATACTGAGTAAGCGCTAAACCCTCTGAACCTCAAATGGTGGAAAAACACTAAACTTACTGACAGCTACTTAAAACTATTGCGTTTTCAAAAGGCCATGTCACTCTCTCTGTTCTGCTGTGGAACAATTTCCAAAAACAAATGAAAAGGAAACCTTCTAGAGAACTGAACCGCCCCCTTTCAATCAACCAAACTTTCTACTTTAGGTCGACAATTTTGATTAACTGAGAAGAGTAAGTTGGAGCATAAATACATATTGCAAAAAAAAAAAAAGGAAAAACTTACAATGGATCTGGACAATATTGTGGCTGAGGCAGCCGTCGGCCCTTTAGAAGGTAATGTGTGACGTCATATGGGTCAACTTCAGGATACGGACTGGCTCCTCGTGTGAGCATCTCCCATATTAAAACCCCAAAAGACCACTACAGTAAAAGACCAAATAAAAGAGTGTTGAGAAGATCACATGACAAATCCTAAATTTAATCCATTGGTTGAAGTAAACATGTTGCTCACCACATCTGACTTGGTTGTGAACTTCTGCGTCTGCAGGCTCTCAATGGCCATCCATTTGACGGGTAATTTGGCTTTCCTGTGGTCCTGAACACTGTAGTACTCCTTCTCCAGCACATCTCGAGCCATTCCAAAGTCTGCCACCTTTACAGTGTAGGATTCATCAAGCCTGAGCGAATATTGGTTCAGTCAGTTCCAAATTCACAATTGTCTGTTGAGCTTCAGTGTGTATTTGCATACATAAGCAAAGAACAGTTGGTAGGTCAATTTAAATAATTACTTCATTAATGTTCTGACATTCTGGTTTGGAGCCCTAAACTCCCCCGATATAGGAGAAGTAAAAAGAAGTTTGAAACACCTGAGCAGCGTTATACTATTAGCTAACATGTAAATACGTGCTGCATGTTTTCCTCTCAATGACAAAATAAATACTGCAAAAATGACAGCAGTGAGAAAACAGCAGTTAAGAAAGCATCTGATCATAGCAATGTGGATATGTTGGCATGAGCTCTGCAATTCAGCACTCCAGCCAAATCAAGTCACGTCTCATTTATTTATAGCATTGTATACAATAGATTGCTTTAAATAAAGCAGCTTTACAGTATTAAACATGAAAAATCAGTATCAGTGTAGCTTTAAATTAGAATTGCAACTTTAATTTCTACTATTAACAGCTCTCCAGTGTGTTCACATGTGTACTTACGTCTGACCTAGATGGACTATACAGAGAAATGAATCAGAGAAGGTTTCCACGTCAAAGTCAAGTTAAAGTTACAAAAATGTAATCGCCACAGACCAATGGTAGTTCGATGGTGTTTACCAGCTGAACTTTTCTGGAAAGTTCGCTTTGGCAAGCTATTCTGAATTGTCGAAACGAACTCCAAACAAACTTAATTGGGC